CTCCATCAAGTTCTATCCTTACATCAAATTAGGATAAGAAGAAGAGAGAGTAAGAAAAGCTTTAAGGGATTTTATCACATTTTCTCAGACTATTATTTTTTATATCTTGACAGCTTTTTGTCTGACTTTAATGTTAAAAATGTACTGGGAGCAGTTCTTAACTCTTCCTTACAGCATAATTTGTATTTTCAAATTGCTCTGTTCCAGCTGGAAACACTAATTGTCATTATGGCTCTTTTCCTGTGCAGTGGGGTTCACTGGATAGCAGAGTCAGCAGTCAAGGACTGAGCCTTGTTTGTGAATGGAAGGCGATGGAGTTTTCCCCGCTTCAGTTGGGTGATGGAATTTTACCCCTCAGGGCACTGTTGGAGGGTTCTCCTCCTTTTCCTGATGAATGTAAAGCTGAGGAGATGAGTCACAGGATGGGCTGTGAGCGGAGGAAGTAAACAGTGCCATCCTCCTTTCCTGGCCGCTTGAGCGCATTCTGAGTGAGTCAGGGAGAGCACAGGGGGAGTTCACCCCCAGATCCTCGCCCAGCCCAGCCCCAGCCCCCTCACAGCGCTCAGAGGGCGAGTAAACCCGTAGTACACTTGCACATTGCCATCATCATCCTCCTTTCCTCCTGCCAGCCCCACAAGTCAGAGTTTTCCTTCCCCGCTGTGGCCAAACCACCTTGGGCAAACTCTCATGGCAGCATCCCTGGCAGTATGAGAGGAACTGACCCACACAGCTGGTCCAGAATGAAATATTCTCCTGTAATTTATGAGTTCCAGATTAGCTTTCCTCCTGTACACACCCTATTCTGGGGTACAGTGTGTTTTCATTCAAGGCCAATGCCTGCAATTCCAGAACAAAATCATTATTATGAACAGAGCCATTTTTATAGTGGGATAATGTACATGTGTAGTTTCATCTTTATGGGGTTTCAGGGAGGGCTGGTGGGAGGGGCTGGTGATTTTTCTCCTGTACAGACAAGCCATTGATTGCCTCTGTGAGTCATGGATAACATCACAGCACTTACTGGCACCACACTACTTGAAATGATTCCTCTGTTACAAAGAGGAGTGTCTGTATCAGCTCGCTCTACAGTTCTGATGATGCTGCAGGAAAGACGAATTTTAACATTTTCACAGTTTTTCCACAGGTGCAGGGTTGGCTTCTTGTTTGTTTTCAGAGGAAAAAGGATATTGAAAGAGTTGCAATTTTAAACAGTTGTTGTTCCTTGCACCTTCAGCTTCAGAATTACTGATGGCTTATGGAAGACTTGGCTCCTGTTAAATAGTTTGCTAAAGCAGAGAGAACATTTAGACGTGAAATTTGGATTTATGTTCCATCAGGAGCTATTTTCCTTTTTAGCTACAAAATGATGGTTTTAAAAGACTTTCCTCTTACTACATATTAAATAGATGCACTGTTGCTAACACTGACCTGCCACCACTATCTTCCAGCAGGATACTTGTTTTATTTCTTATTAAAAAGTATGAAATCTAAAAATTCAATAAAGATTCAGTGAAATCTTGAGTTCCATGAACGGCAGATTTTTGCTGCACAGTCTGTCCTGCAGCTGTGGCTTTGCTCCTCTTTCAGTCCTGTGCTGCTTTTTGTGGTGCCAGTCCAGGGTCAAGGGAGATTAAAACCAAGAATGGTGGATAATTTTATGATTAGATAAAAAATGCTCAAGGGAACAGAACAGGAGCTTTGTTTGAGGCCTGAGCTGGGCAGGGCAAGGACCAGGAGGGGGCACCTGTGATGCTCAGCGTTGCATTGCCTGCTGCTTTCCTCCCTCTGTGCCTCAGAAACATCACAGGGAGTTTTCTTTCCTGTGCTCTGAGTTGGCAGCGTGAGCTGGGCTGTGAGGATATTGCCCAACTCTGGAGGGAAGGATTTTAACATAAAATTGCAGTGCTGATGCTTTAAAAGCTGACCTGTTGCCCTAGGGGTCGGTAGTTCCTCAATCCGAGTGAGAGTCTTGGCAAAGCGCCTGCAGAGAATCTGTTAGAGGGAAAAGTTTTTCCAAAATTCCAACTAAACATCTCAATTCACATCCCCCAGTGTGTTATCTCCACACATCTCCCCTCAGCACCCCCAGTGCCCAGAGACTGTTCTGTCTGAGAAAGCTCTGGGGAGGCTCATTTGGTCTCCATTTACTTTTCCTCAGCTCTTGCTCCCTTTTGGTACCTAATTAGAACTAAGCCACGTTCTGCTCTAATATTCTGCCCTCTTTGATCTTGCTGGAGTGCTTATTAAAGGAGCAGGTGATTTTTTCATGGCATTATTGCACACCAGAAAGCTCCAGATGTGTCTGGTTTGTGATTGTTGCTCTGAGGAGATTGATGCTTGGTGCTGATGTGCTGAATTAAAAAGGTGGGGTGCTGGCCTGCCATTGTATGAAGTATTTCTTTTTAGATCTTCCTACAGCACCATAAAATGCTGCTAAATTCAGATATCATATTTTGTTGCAGGCTGGTTCTAGGACAAAGCCCAGCCCTGTCTACTGATGTTTATGGCTTCCCATATAAGTCTTCAGACAAAATTTGTATCTCATTTTGCTTGGGTTACAGCAGGATGATATCCCGGTCCTCACACCAGTTCTGAGCTGAGGCACTGAGAAGTTGCCACTGTAATGAAATGGAGGAAAGGGAAAAACATCCCTTTTAAACTTCCTGTAAATCACTGCTTGAGAGAGATAAAATATCTGCATAAAGCGTGTGTGGGAGTCCTGTAATGTAAACACAAATGCATTTAAGCCTTGTCTTGTTTCTGGTTTGTAACTGCCTCAGTGTTTAAATCTCCTCTGCAGCCTGGTGTGCCTTGGGAGGAGATTTGGCTCCTGCTCCAGAAATCAGAGGGCGCTCTTGCTGCTCTGGCTCCTTGCTTATCTGCTTGGCTGCTTATCTGCTTGGCTGTAAAGTTTTCATGCTAAATGCGACTTCTCAAAAGTATTGCTTTCAAATGGAGGTCAATTTATTTACAATTAATCCAGAAAGGAGCTTGTCTGCATTTGAATTTATAGCACAGAAAAAATACTCTTCCTTCTATTCTGCCTCAGCTTTCCCAGGACGAAAGTTCACTTTCTGCTCCTGAGTTGGGAAGTTACACAATGGCAGAACGTGTCAAAGTGCCCTGTAAATAAACCACAGAGCAGAAATGGGGCTGCTAAAGCATCCCTTGGTGACTTTCTGCCCATCATCCACATGGGGAGGGAAGATGAGGCAGGGAAGGACCAAGGTCCTGATGAGAAAATTGGTTGTCCCATGTGTGATGCCACTGCCAGTTTCTCATTGTCTGGGTTTCTGCATTTCACCATGGGCTGTGCTGGTGAGTTCCAGAGCTGGGCTGATGTTTGTGATGAGAGCAAGGCAGGGCACGTTTCCATTTGCCTGTGAAGCTGAGAGGAAGCCCTGACCTGATCCCCAGGTGCAGTGCTGAGAGAGGAGATTGCTGGCAGAGTGTTTCCTGCTGAGAATTCTTTTTGCTGCTTTTTGTATATTTTTTCATGTTTACTCATTCCCACAAAGAATATTTCAACAGCTGAAAAAACCTCCTTGACACAAGTAAATATACAGCAAAAGTAAAGGCAAAAGTATTGTGGTGAAATGAGAGGCATTTAAACGAGTGTAGATAATATCAGACTATCAAAAACAAATGACCAGAATTTCAACTGAGAACAAGAGTGGAGCAAAGTCAAATGGATGGGATTTGCCCTAGAATCTGTCTTTGATAAATGTAGGCTTTAAAAATACACAACCTGAAAAAAAATAGCTTAAATATTAGAGCTTTTATCTCTGCTAAGTCGTGGCTGCAGGAATCTGAGTCATCTGGCTTGAGCAGGTGTAATTGTTTGTGTGCTGTGTATCTGCTCTGGGCAGCCCTGACAAACAGTGAAATCACCACTCAGCTCCAGAGGGACAATGAGAGCTCTGACCTCAGGCTCTGTCACTGTGCCTTTGTTATCTCTGAGCTGCATTTGAATTCCTTGGTTTCTGTTTGTTTCCTCTGAGCAGGCCCAGGAGCTCGGATTCACCGGCCTTTTGTTGGGTACCAATTGTTGGTTTGAAAGAGCCCCTGTTTCTGGTAGGATCACAGCCCACACTGAATATATCTCACTGTTAATTAGAGACCAGCCCAAACCGAAGATGTCTGTTTGATCCCTCCCTCCCTCTGGAATCTTTTCTTTCCTGGGAAAAATCGCTCAGTGCTGGCTGGAGGATTGACCATTGTGTTGTAGAGAAACTTCTGTGGTTTCCAAATGTGTTTTATTCTCCTCAGGAATTAAACCCAAAAATCCTTCTAAGTGTCTGAGATCCTTCTGTGTGTAAAGGATTTCTCCTTCTCTCAAGTTCACTCTTGCCTGTAAATTCATCCCACTGAGATCTCAATCAAACCCCATATATTTTATCGTGAAAAGTTTTGGTTTCAAGAACATGAAGCTTTTATCAGGTTCTCACTAATCTCCAAGCTGCTGACCTGGCAGAATGGATTGGGAGTGATGCAGATGTTCAACCCCCATTGCTTTGTGTGTTAGTGACGGTAGATTAAAGGAAATGTTCCGTTTTTACTGCTTAAACTGTTCAGTTTTACTGCTACTAATATTCAATATGTCAGTTCCTTTGGCACATTGAAACATGGGTGAGGAGAAGCTGAAAGCTTGATCTGATGATAAAAGGAAAAAAACAAAATAGACTGCCAGTAAAAAGTTTGGGAAGTTAGTTTGGGGTCTGGGCAGTCAGTCCTCTCTTGGTGGTACCAGTGTTTGATTTTTTGATTAATGGCTTTAAGCAGATAACAGGCTGGGGAAGGCGGGAAGGGAGCTGCACAGCTGGTGCCCTGTTCCAGCCTGAGCTGTGAACACAGGTGTTGTTCATGGTACCGGTGTCAGATTGTTCTGGAACTGCGGCCAGCAGGGCTGATCTCCTGCAATCCATTGCTTTTGTCAGAAGCTGAGGCCATGCGAAGCAAACATCTGAGTTTTTTCTGTTTCCTTTTCTCTTTGGCTGCAGTGGTGGAGAGCCGAGGAGGGATCATGGACAGCATCCAGAGATTCTCCAACCTGCCAACCTATCTCCCTGCAAACCCTCACATCTCCAATGCTGATACCTTCTTCTTCCTCAAGGAAGCCAACCAGGATATCATGAGGAACTCCAGTTTGCAGTCCAGGGTGGATTCATTCTTTATATACAAAGCCAAACAGCCACCTGTCCTAAACGCCACGTACGGACCCTTTTCTGTTGAACAACCCGTTCCCTTGGACCTCATGCTGACTTCTGCATCTTTTGGTTTCACAAATAAATTCACTTTTAATTGGAAATTAAAATCCCACATAATCAACAGCTCAATCTATTCCAACAAACCCAAAATACAGACCCTGTTCTATATAGCAGGGAAGGACTGGGATGACTACGACTCCGAGGAGATGCTGCCTTGCGTGAAGATGTTTGCTTTCCTGGAGTCCAGAGAAGTGGTGGCCAGCTGCAGATTGACAGGCCACCTGGGATTATGTGTGGTGGAGCTGGAATTGTCTCCCAGCTGGTTCAGCTCCCCTCCACCCCTGCTTTCTGAGGAAACAGCCTCCCTGGAAGGGATTACTGTGGAGCTCTTCTATAAGATTTATGCAGTGGATGGGGAATGTTCTCCAGAGGATGCAAAATGGGAAAACAATATCCATGCGGGTGAAGAGAATGAGCACCAAGCTTTGTCAGCCATGGAGAGGATCGGTAGCATCGTTGTTTACCCAAATCAGGACAAATTAAAGCAGTCTTCGCTGAGGGTGGATGAAAACATCCTTATTCACTTGCCACTCAGCCCAGTCAGAGAGGGGGACATTGTGACCTTCCATGTTTTCCTGGCTGATTACTCGCTAGCAGACCAGTTTGTATTAAGGTAAGAGAATTTTTAAAGTGTTGTATGCAAAACAAATAGGGGCAAATCAATGATGGGTGTAAACATTTGGTTATATTTACTGTTTCTTGAGAGAACTTCTGCATTGCCTCTTCAACAGGTGAAAACTATAGATAGTCTGGAATTATCTGTGTGAATTATTACACTTTTTGGACCATGGACATTGATTTTAAAGTATGGGCTATGAATGTTTGTTTGATTATTTTTAAATTCTGTTTGCTTCTAGTCATAATTCTGCCTCTTAAATTCTGCCTATGTAACTCCACCAGGGTAACTGCTGCAATGTGTTTTGCTAAAGAGTTTGCAGGAGGGTTTTCTGTTTCTTTGGTAAGGTTTCCTCTGTTTTTATCAACTTCATCATCATCATCTTTCCAAAATGCACGAGCTACATCCTGCACAGGTCAAACGTGGTGAGAACTCTTGCTGCATTGTACAGAGGGGAGCTGAGAGCTGAGGAAATGAGCTCAGCCTGCGTAGGGATCCTTTGGCAGAGCCAGGATTTGGGGCTAAACTTTGCAAGTTGTCTTCAGTTTTCCTATATGATCAGCCCTTTCTGCTTCTTCGGGCTTTTGACTGCTAGTTTCATGGCCCATTTTTATTTTAAGTTTGGGGACTCTCTGTTGACCTTTCCCTGTGAATCTGCCTGTAATAGGAGAGCTCAGGCATTTCAAACCACCCCGAGGGTTAGCGCTGCGTATTTGTTCTGTCCTTAGCTGTCAGACTCTGGGCTCAGAGCTGCACAGGGACCAAATTCAGAGAGAAATGTGAGCCAAACTGGGGGAACAAAAGGGCCAAAAGGTAATTGGAAAGTGTCATCTGCTGTAAGGATGTGGGACTCTCGGGAAAGGGAAACCTCGGAGCAGATTCGTGCCTTACTTCCAACTTTTGATCCGAGAAGGATGGGAGCAGAACGTGACAGAAATGCACTTTGGGGACAGATGTTGAGAAAACAGACAGCAAAACTTATGCAGCACTTTCAAATCATTCAGCATTTGTGAAATAGCCCATGCATATTAATAAACTTGGAGATTGCTGCCTGAATAGGGACAAATGATTCACAGCACAGCGCTGCTAATTGGGGGGAAAGTGTGACAAATATAATGGGGTTTAACCAAACTTGAAAAGGTTTGGATCAGGAAGGGGCTTCCTTTAAACACAACTTATTGGTGCTCTTTGTGGATTTAGCGTTTTTAATTTGTCAAACATGGATTTGGCCAGCATCCACCGGCAGTGGACGGACTGGCCTGGCGGAGCAGTCGGGTTTCAGCAGGCGTGTATTGATCCTCGGTGCCATAGCAGAGAGATTATAGAATTTGCCTAAGGCTCTGCAAGGATTTAACATCAGCTCTTAATTCGCAGGGTTTTGTTCTCTTCCCCACACCAGAGATAAAATTCCCAAGGTATTAGAGCCAGCCTAAGACGAGGATGTTTTCTTTCCACTGGAATTTCTAAAATGGCATTTACCTCGTGACAAATGGTGCAAGGGTTGAGTTTTGATATTTCTGCTGGCCAGGAAATAACCAAAAACTTCTTGCAGAGACGCTTTTGAAATGGTGTTTTTCAAAAGCAAAATAGTTCTGGAAGCACTGAGCAATAACTGAGCTGGGTTTTCGGGGGAGCAGAAATTGGGGGAGCAGGCAGATTGCAGGCTGGGGAGCCCCAGGATGACCCACAGGAGCCTGGCTGCTGCTGAGCCCTCACCTGTCCCACAGCCCATGGGGTGTGCACGGCCCCAGCTGCCAGCTGTTCTCCCAACATGTGGAACGTCCATCGCAGTGCTCCTGGGAAGGCAGTCAGGTTTCCATGGGGATTTCCTTCTCTGAACAGTGCATGGAATCTGTTCATCCCCAGGAAATGTTTCTGGTACAATAAATCAGCATGTTTTACGTGCCCAGAAATATTTCCTTGGAAAATTCACTGCTGGCTCTCTGTAGTCTAGCCTGTCTGGGCTTTTATTTGGCTTTGCTTGCATTGTGCTTTTCATCAGAGAAACTGAAAGTATTTTTATTTACCCTTCAGTTGGATGCTGAAAGTGAGAGGCAGAATGCAATTCTGCTGGTGGTTCACCTGCCCTTTAGAATGGGAAGAGAATCTACAACTGTTGCTATGATTGTTTTGAATGATGTATGTTGGGTCCATGGAGAGATTTTCAGCTGAAGTTTACATGGAAGGCAGGGAATGATGCTGAGGGAAATACAAGCACTACAGTGCCTACATCTCATTTATGCAGCTTCCCTCACCAGCTTTCCCTGGTTTTCTGCTCCATGTTAATGTCTGTGAAAACCCAGAAGGTTCTTCTATACCTAGAATTTCTGTGTGTTATAGCCAGAGAAAAAGACATTGGAGTGAATGTTTGCCTTGGGAAATATATTTTCACCTAATATAACTGATAGTTTTTAATCATACCTGTTGTAAGTGTAGCAGGGTCTGGCTCATATGAGAGGATAGATCAAACCCAAGTCATTCTCAGCACAGCCTTGAGCTCTGACAGGATGCAAAGGAGCAGATATGCTCAATTTTATGCACCTCTTTACTATTTCATGCTGTGTGGCATAGTGTTTTATTTTATGCTGGATTTTTCCTAGCAGAACTGACTTCAATTCTCATATGGGAGCTGATTCTTTTTTGTTTTGGTGAAATCTGTGATTCTTACCCAAGTTTGGGGGCTGAGAAGCAGCTGGGAGCAGTTCCTGGAGTCAGCAATGTGCTGTGCTGAGAGACTGCCCCTGTCAGATCCCCATCCTCCAGCCCTGCCACTGCAGGGTGACCCTGCAGCTGGTTTGTGAGCTCCAGCTCTCACTTCCAGTCCCTTCCATCACTCCTAACTGGCTTTGCTTGGCTTGAGCTTGGTTATTTTCATTCAATAACTTGAATTTCAGGTGGGGTTGGAGCTCTATGGTGCTGTGTTTTAAATAAAATACATTTATTTCTTTTCCTACTGGAGTGCAGCCAGTGTGGCTTGGTGTCAGGGAAGGGCACAGATGTGTCAGGGGGCAGAATTTGGGGACAGAGTGTGCATTTGGTGCCTTTGTTGACAGATGATCCATACATGTGTGTGATGAAATGCTTGTGACACTGGAGATTAATTTGTGGCCTTGCTGGTCTGATCTGTACTGCAAAATTCACCATCTGGGAAGATAAATTTTGCCCATTATGTTTGGTGGTTTGTCACTAAGCACGGCTTAACTGTAAAGGTAGGTGAAATGGGCTATGTTTGCCATGATTAAACTCTTTTATGGCCACCTTGTTTAAAAAAAAAAGGGTAAAAATGAAGGACAGGTTTGAGATTCCAGCAGGACTCATACATACTTCAGTGTCACAAATTTTCAGGGCTTTTTGTCCTTTGGTGTGCTGGAGTATCTCTGTTTCCTTCTTCACTAACAAACTTAGATAACATGTAGTAAATGGGAAAAGAAAAGATGGAAATCGTGACTACAGAAGGGGTAACAGCAGCTTTAGTGCTAATTGCTAGACAGAAGAAGTCTCCTGACACATGGAGGAGTTATAAAAGAGACAGGAGAAAACAATTCCTGCTCAACTGGAAGAACAGAAATCTCATCTAATAGCACTGGGAATGGCTTCTATTTCTTCTGTGGTGTTTGTTATTATTTAACTCCATCTTGAGACTCAGAGGATGAATTGAAAAGAAAAATGGGAGTCAATTTGTACAGCAGGAGAACATTTAATGAAATAAATGGACAATTGCCCCTTGGTTATAGGGAAGAAATGAGGACACTCTCTTTAGGAGTAAACAATGGATTTTTGGATTGTTCTCCAAGTCTGCCCATCTGAGCTGTCAGTGAGGATGTGCTGCCCCTGAAAGCTGAGCATTAACAGCAACCATCACACACAAAATGTGGGTTTGCTGGCATCCCTCACACTCCCCAACAGCAAGGAGCCATCCTTCTTTGTGCCTGCAAAGAATGGAGCTGGAAATGGGAGAAATTCCAGGGTAACAGCGAGGAAACAGGTCATGAACCCAATCCAAGGTGTTACACATACCAGGAGACCCTTCCTGATGGGTCTCACTAGGCAAAATGATATTAAGGATTTATATTAATAAACATATATCCATATGGAGGGGGTGATGTCTCCTGCTAAGGAATAAAAATTGCACAGACCATTAAAAGTGACTTACAAGGCTTCTGTGTTAATAATGAAAGATCTGGAGAAGTCTGAGCAGTCGTCTAGAAGGCCAGAAAAAGATCATTAAGAGGATGTCTCCTGCCAATAGCTGCCAAGAGCAAACAAGGGAGAGAAAACAGAAGGTTTTGGATCCGGAAATGCATAGAAAATGAGAGTACAGGCTGTGGGGAATGCAGCCTGGCTGCCTGTGAGGAGGAGGCTCCACATGGCCTTCATCACTCCTGAGCAAGCTGCTGGCAATGGGGAGCTCTGTCTCTGGGATTGTCACTGGGGAGGGAAAGAAATGATTCACTGGAACATCACTGCAGGATGAACATTCAGCAGAAATCGGTGTGGAGAAAGGAAAAAAATATAAAAATGCTCTTCTGAAATCTGAAATGCTGGTTCAGATTTAGAAATTATCACAGAAATAAACCATTACTGGTGGATTGGGAATAATTTGGGTTTGAGTCCAAAATTTTATAGACCCAGCTGAATGTTGAAATTTTTGGTTTCCCTTTCCTCTCTGAATGTACATGGAACTAAATGTAAATATGAAATAGTGATACGTAATGTTAATAAAAATATCGAGCACTGCTAAGTCTGGAAATGCCAGATCTGCCTGTGCAACCTTTCTGCAGTCCCCAAGTACTTCTGCACTATTTCATATTCCTCCAAGACAGATTCACACTATTTCATTTTTCCAGATCTCCTGCTTCATTTGATGCCTATATTGTCTTCCTCCCACTATTTTCTTTTCCTTTTGTTACTGAATGGAAAGGGAGTCATATCCTTTCAGGACACTCCAATGAAGCCTCGGGGAGCTGTCACCAGAATGGTTTTTTTGGCTTGAATGA